TTTCTTTCTTTCTCTTTTTGAGATAGGGCCTCATTCTGTTGCCCAGTCTGGAGTGCAGTGGTACAGTCTCAGCTTACTGCAGCCTTGACCTCTCAGACTCAAGCCATCCATCCACCTCAGCCTCCCAAGTAGCTGAGACTATAGGCATGCATCACCACACCCAGATAATTTATTTTATCTTATTTTTTGTAGAGACAGCATCTCGCTATGTTGCCCAGACTGCTCTTGAACTCCTGAGTTTAAGTGATCCTCCCACCTTGGCCTCCCAAAGTGGGATTACAGGTATGAGCCATAGCGCCTGGCCCAGGGATTTTCAATTAAAATGAACACGGAGATTCTAGATTCTATTTTTAGGGTCCCAAATAGGCAAGACATACTGAATGATAATTAAGTAGGGGAACATTCTCTACCAGATAACAAGACTTTGTACAAGCTACAGTAATGAAGACAGTATAAAAAAAAAAGACAGCATGGTGGGGATCCTGGTATAGATCAACAAATGGAAACTGCAGTGGACAGCTCTAAGATAGCCCCAATGATCCCCACCTCTGGGTATTGACAGTCTTGTCTACTTCCCTAACCTTGAATATGGGCTGGATTTAGTGGCTCACTTCTTATATAAAGAGCATGACAGACATGATAAGGTGTCACTCTGTGCCACTTCTGAGATTACAGAATGAAGAGGCTGTGATTCTTATCTTGGGAGCTCTGTCACTTTCTTTGATCTCTCACTTGGAGGGTAAGCAAGTTGTCACATTGTGATCTACACTAAGGAGAGATGCATGTGGCAAGGAACCAACGTCTCTGGTCAACAGCCAGTGAGGGCCACACACCTACCATCAGCTACACAGTGAAATTGCAAGTGGATCCTTTTTTCAGTAGAGCTTCGAAATGACTGCTGCTTTGGTCAACCCCTTAATCACTGTCTTATGAGAGACCCTGATCCAGAACTACCTAGCTAGACGATTCCCAGATTCTTAAACCACAGAAACTGTGAGATAATAAATATTTATTGCTTTCAGCTGCTAAGTTTTGGAATAATTCATTGTGCATTAATAGGCAACGTATATACACACACAGACACCATGTTTGTGTCTAAATTTGATATATGTTATGTTAGTGCTAGTGGGGAAAAGATTAATAATTTTTCAATGAATGGGTTAAGGACAATTGATTATGTATATGATAAAAAGATCTCCATTTCATACTGTAAAGGAAAACAGAAGTCCAAGAGCATTACAGACACAAATGTGAAAAGGCAAAACTTAAAACTTTGAAGAAAAAAATACTAGAAAATGCCTTTGTGAATTCATGGTAGAATTTTCTTAATGAGATGTGAAAGCTAAAACACATCCTAAAAGGTAAAAAGTTAAACCACAGACCAGGAGAAAGTATGGGCAACATACATGACCAACAAAGGTTCAGTATCTAGAATATGTAAAAACTGTTAGAAATCAATGAGAAAAAGACACACAACTCAATAGAAAAAAATGGCAAAGAGAAGAATAGGCAGTTTACAAAAGAGAGAACAGAAATAACATATAGGCACATGAAAAATTGCTCCAAGCCTGCCCAACCCCGTTGCTACTAAAAGGACAAAAATTAGTTGGGTGTGGTGGCACATGCCTGTAACCCCAGCTACTCGAGAGGCTAAGATGGGAGAATCACTTGCACTTGGTGGATGTTGCAGTGAGGTGAAATCATGCCACTGCACTCCAGCCTGGGCAACAGGATGAGACCTTGCCTCAAGAA